CGGCGAGGAGCCGGGAAGGAGCGCGGCACCGTCACCCCACAAGCCGCCCGCAGCAACGCCGTTATTCTTGTGCCTCTTGGGCGCCGCCGACGCCCTGCGGATGGGGAGCGCATCCCAGACGGGCGGGAGCCGGGAGGGGCGCCCGCGCCATCCGGCCGGCGAAGCAGCAGCCCGGCCAGGCGCGGCGGGCGGCTGGGTGGCGGCCGGACTGGGACGAGTCCCGAGTCGCTCCATGTCTCTGTCTCTTGCGAAACTAGTACCGCCGCCGCCCAGCCTTGATGGGTCACTACGAGGAAAAGGCGAGCCCGCTCCCAGTACCTGTCGTGGAGCTCCCGCGCGGGCACGCCGCCTCACCGATGGCCCCTGGTCTTTATCTCTCTCTGTCTCTGTCTGTCTGTCTGTCTGTCTGTCTGTCTCTCTCTCTCTCTCTCTCTCTCTCTCTCTCTCTCTCTCTCTCTCTCTCTCTCTCTCCGTCTCCGTCTCCGTCTCCGTCTCCGTCTCCGTCTCCGTCTCCGTCTCCGTCTCCGTCTCCGTCTCCGTCTTTGCCTCCGCCTCCGCCTCCGCCTCTCTCTCTCTCTCTCTCTCTCTCTCTCTCTCTCTCTCTCTCTCTCTCTCTCTCTCTCCCCGACGCCAAAACCGGCTCACAACGGCGTCCATGTCGGCCGGGGCGAAATGACTTGAATAATTATTTCATAAAGGCATTAACAGTGACACAAGACAAAAGTTCAACAAATTCTACGGATGAATCATCCAGTAGGTACTAACTTCGAGAGCAGTTAAAATGAAGATGCACAAGAAAGCGTAATTTCCCAATGACATCATATGGCTGTCACAATGCTTAGCCGCAATCACCTCTTTTTGTAGTTGAAATGGTAAGTAATTTTTGAAATTATCCGATAAAAATCTAAAATTGATACCATATTGAAGACCAATCAATTCTACACATGAATCAGGGTGTATCTTTGAGAAAAACTTGAAAGTTTAGGTGTGATAAGAAAAACAAATAAAAATGAACCATTTTCCCATAGACTTTGTATTGGCTCCAAAATCGCATGGATCCAGAATTTCTGGAAGTGCCCTCGCCACAACTGCACGTGCGCTGCGCTCGAAAATGATCACGTGACCAAATCCAGATGAGATCACCGTATTTATAGTCACCGTGGATTTTAGGTTAGTGTTTGTTTGTGGAGGGAGGTGTAACTTAATTTTAATGTAGAATTATCTTCACGGTTAAGTTAGTATAAATTAGCACCAAAATAGGTCAAAGTTATCAGAAAATCCATTTTTGTATTTAACAGAAACAGCTGCTTTTCGCACAAATGGCTCTCACAGCGACTCGAGAACAAAGCGTCAACACCACGGCGAATCTCTGTTGCAATCTGTATATACGCATATTCAGGTTGATCCCATCTTCATTATTTACGTCGGCGCGGCGCATGTTCATGTGCTAAAAATAGTCTAGATTTGGAATGTAAGCGAAATTTCTCAGGTTAAGGCAAATGCCGGGCACGGTGAGCAATCATACGAACAATCATACGGGCCGCGAAGTTTAAGAAACCCGGGTCACGGGTGGCAGGACGATCATTGTAACTTCGTATAGCGTTATTTGTATAAACACGGGTAACAAATGAACAGTTCGCTGGTTCTAAAGCGTCGAAACCCCTACAAACGCGCTTTGCCCTGCCAGTCCCAAAGTGACCCATTACCGGCCAAGACCGCGCCCCGCGGCCACGCACGTTGTCAGGGAGTGCGGGGCCGTGGAACGACGGGGCTCAGAGGCAGGGCTGCGGAGTAGGAGTCTGAGTCGGAGTCGGTCGGAGTCGACAGTTGTGACCGGAGTCGGACTCAAAGTCGATTTTAGAAACCCGAGCCGGAGTCGGAGTCGGAGTCACCGAAATCTGTCGACTCCGCAGCCCTGCTAGGTCTGCGGAGTCGGGAGTTGGAGTCGGTCGGAGTCGACAATTCTGCCCGGAGTCGGAGTCGGAGCTGGTTTTTGAAAGCCGGAGTCGGAGTCGCCGAAAATCCATCGACTCCGCAGCCCTGCTCAGAGGCACTGTTTCCGTGCTCGGCCGTCCGTGACGCCCTTGTGGGCCGACCGGAGGGGACGCCACCATTTCCCCGCTGCACGTCTGGAGCGTCGCAGAGGGCTGGACGCCAGTGCGGGTCCCGTACCGACCCCGGACCGGCGCGGGCGGCACCGTGGAGCACGGAGAGCTCGCCGGCGATGGTGGTCATGCCAGCGGCGCATTAACATTCTGAGACCGCTAGCCCAGGCATTCCGGTCGGGACCGTCGCGGAATTGGTGGAGCACCTCATCCTTGAAGGCCACCAGCTGCTGCTCATCCATAGCCGCATGCGCCTGGCCTGCGAAGGGCGAAGTGGATCCTGCGCCATGGGGGGACTGAGGCGCAGCATCATCGTTGACGGCCTCGCAGCCTCGCACCCGCTGGGCGCAGCAGATGGGCCGGCGGGCAGGGCTGCGCTAGTCCCAGGCTTTTCCGCAAGAGGCGCAAACCACCCTGCGGGCCAGGCCCGACTCTGTCAGATGAGCATCGGGCATCTCATCGCCCCCCTGCTCCAGCACCGTCAGAGATGCTTGCACAACACTCTTCCACCGGCTGCTGGCGCAGGAGCAGGAGGCGATGACGGCGTCGACCACGTACGGCGTCTCGTGGGCCTGCTGGGGCAACCACACCTGTTCTCCCCTCAGCCCCGTCACCGGGGCGTAGTCGTCAGATTTGGTACGAGCGGAACTGCAAGCGGCCAAGGCCGCCACCACGTCGTCCTGTCGTAGGTCGGTACTCGGTAGCAATCGGTAGGTCGTCCGTATATGTTGCCCAGTGCGTGCCGCGTGGAGGCGGGCCCCGTCGTAGATGTCATCGGATATCTGTGAAATAAGTTACAGATGGGCTCATTGACGAACAGGATTAGGAATGGCTGAAGGATGGCTCGTACTGGGCTCGTACAAAACACCACCACACATCGCTAATGCTTTAATTTTTCGCATTTCTACTCGTGCCCCGGAAGCGGTGCTTGAATACACCCGCTTAAGGTTTTTCACGAATATCTGAAAAACAGCAGCGAGTTACAGTACTGCTGTTTTTTTGTTTTTTTTTTTGCCACTCCTCGTCATTTATCTTCTCTGCACATGTCACAATTTTAGATCACGTTAAATTAAACGACCTACGTCGGGAAAATTTCCAATTAAACCATAGATAGATCGACCGACTGATGATTTTCAAACTTCCAGCGATTGGGAAGCGCAATAGTGTGTATGAAATGTACCTACCTCCGGAAATTTGCCATCGAGGTAAATTTTGCAATTTCTCCGTCTTAAGTCAGTAGGAGACAATATACTAATTTCATTCAAGCTTCTCGGCATAGATATACATGTCTTCAAATTGCACACGTGACCCCTCTTTGTAGCCGTGAAGTCAGAAATGAGGTCAGCGGTAGCCGTATAAGTCGTCCTTAATATGCTCAGCCATAGACTACTACAAAAAGCAGTAGCAGCTGAACAAGGCAGACGTGTTTTACGTTGCTCTGAATCATTGCAAAATTAAGGCGCATTGTAAGCTTTTTGATGGATCTATTATATATTACAAGACTGAGAAGAAAATGGTGCTTCTGATGCACCTCATATCTTCCAGTGATATATTTCAAATTTGATGATATCTTGCATTTTATTTTGCATTTTATTGGCATTCAGATGGAACAATTTCAATTTGGCCCGGCAAGAACATCACAATTTATTGTTCGATTTTTCAAGTCTCGAGCCTCCAAGTCGCGTGATTGTTTTTGACACTTCTGGAAAATGAATGAACCGAACCAGTTTAGAAAGTGCATTTTAACGGGCAAAAAGCGTATGTGGTGTGCCAACAGATATGATGATGCATAATGCAGTATCAAGACACGTTTGGTGATTTATCCTGCTATGATAAATAGATAGCGACATGTGATCAAGACCAGTGTCCAGGACGCTATCGAGAAATGGGAGAACATTGGGAACGGAAGCAAGATTTACAAATCGGTGAACTTCTATGAAACTCGACTACGACCACGATCCATGAAGTCATGCACTCATCAGCTTTTCTTTTGTCAAGTTTTCATTTCTTAGGGCCCCGGTAATATCCTCATACTTATCCTTCTTGCCAGGCTGCAGATGTGCGCAGCGCCAGCTGGGCAGCAGCTGCACTCGCAGTCCTGCACAATCCTATCACAACGTCCCGTATCCTATCCGTATCCTTGCCATAGTATTTAACGCATCACCTCATAATCACCTCAACTGAAAAGCCACGATGCTTGTGGATGTTGTTGTATGTATAAATAAAATAAATAAATAAATATCTGGACTGGACACGAATTTCGGCCGACTACCATAAGGGTACTGCAGGCGGTGGATGGCGGATGTTAATTGCATTTATCACGTGCTGCAATAATGAGTATTTTACTTTACTTATAGAATCTCAAACATTCCAAATTTCAACGTATTGTTTTCGTTCGTTGAGCTTTGTCGAAATTGTAGTTTATGCATCTTAATACCAAGTTGGTTTAATGTGGATCTTTGTAATATTATTTTTTTTTTGTGATTTCCCCTTTCTGTACAATCGTTCCACAACACAATGAATTCATAACTTCTGGTTGTATACAGTATGGAAGCTGTTTAACAATGCCAAGATATTGTGCAGTTGCTAACTGTCGTTCAGGACACAAGCCGACGATATGGGACAGGGAAAACAATAAGCTTACCCCACGATTTAGCGTTTTTCGATTCCCCGGAAATAAAGCAAGCAAGAGAAAATGGGCTGAAGCCATTGGACGGAACGTGGAAAACCTGAACGGGGTCAACTGTGGCATATGCGAAAAAGCATTTCCATCCTCATGATTTTCGTGTGGGTGCTAACAGACGCGGCAAGGATCGGAAACGGCGACTTCTGAAGAAAGATGCTGTGCCGTTTGTGGAACTCGTAACAGGCCACTCAACACCTCGTCCGACGAAATTTGCGGACCCATCGGCACGACGACTCCGACAGGAACAAGAGGCCGAAAACCGGACACAGGCATTCTTCGCTGACGACCAGATACAGAACCTTGCTGATCTCTTGCTGTCAGAAACTAAAAAAGGAGCACCTGCCCGTGGGCTTCAGGTATGTTTATCAGCGGAATTGATGTTTTGCATAGGCGTAGGAACGTCACAAAAAGTGGGGGGGGGGGGGCAGACCCCGGTCAGGGACACTTCGATCTCAGTTTGTGAGAACCCCAACCCCCCTAAGAAAAATTTGAGGGCAGTTTTGAACTCCTCTCGTCTTGCTGAATCGTTTGCTGCCTTTATTTTTGCATTTTGAGCAACATTAAATAATGTAGCATGAAAACTTGGCCGCAAAGTGGGGGGCATGGCCCCCTGGGCCCTGGCCCCCCTGTTCCTACGCCTATAGTGTTTTGTAATATGTATTTAATTTTTTAGGTATGATAAATGATAATGATATTATGCCCAACTATGTTGAATAGGTACTTAACGGGAGTGATGGATAAATTAATACGATTTAACCCACCAATTACATATTTGATGTAGGTAACTGTTTCGTTGCAACGTCTTGAAAAAAATGATACTACTGAAAAAAATAAGTACCTTCATATGCGGAATAAGTCTTCTGATCATACAACATAATAGGTACCTACCTTACTGAAATATTCAAAAATAGTAATTACCATTCTAAAATAATTAATTATATAAAAACAAATATGTTGAAATACAATCGAATACGTAAAACAAAAGAAATATGATTTGCTAAGTGCGCAAAAGATACAACATATTGTGGTGGGCGGTTGCAGTGTCGGCAAATAGATGCTTGAATATCGTCTAATGAATTTTCTTATTTCAGGGTGGCCGAAGTCAACGTTGAAAACGTGACAGTGATCAGCATAAGAAAGGAGGAAGTTAGAGAACCGGCTGGCATGCCCGTTATAACCCACAACATCACCATATACGACGACCTTCGCTTCAAGCTGCACTGCCAAGGAACTGATGTTTCGGTCAAGACAGTCTCTGATATCTGCTGCGTGCCTGGAGCGTTTTCATCAGTGTCAGAAGTGCTGACCGTGATTGCACGTCTGAAGAGTGTCACTGTGACAGTTGCTGCTCGTCTGTCGGCAGCCGCGACGCTCCTCGACACAATCGCCGAGTCCAGCGATGGCGATGTCTGCCCAGTAGTTTGGAGGACTCTCGTCAAAGAGCAGAGCAGCAGGCAGCGTCTGTTCGGCAGCAACCTGCCGCGAGCAGTCTTCGTGAATGTGGTGAGTGAAGTCATCACATCGGCCGAGAACGTGACTGTCTCAGACATCAGCTGTGAAGGAGGCCACTGTCTTGCAACTGTAGTATCGCGTATGGCAGGCTCCCTATTCAATTTGTTTGCCAGCAACATGGTCAGGGACGCCAACAGCCGTCTACACGGAAAATGGAAGCGTTCCACAGACCCCGGCGCCAGTACCAGTAAGGAGAGATGCTCTAGGGAAGACCAGAAGCGCCGCAAGTTAAGTGGGAGTAAGAAGACTTAGGACCAGCTCGGCTCCACTGCATCTGCAGGCGCTGACTGACAGCGTTATCTAGTGGCCGATATTTAACCCTCGCACGACCAGGCCATTTCTCATAACACGAACGACCAGGGGGGGGGGGGGGTTGTTACGACCCCCCCCCCCCTGGCGTTTCGAAACGGAAGGTCGTAGAGCTTAGCGGAAAAAACCAACGGATTGCTCTCAACGAGATCTCGCGATTGGTGGTATATTTTTTGGTCCTAGGTCAACATTTGACCTACTTTTGACCGGTCAAAGGTCAAATTTTCGGAAAAATAGACTTTTTTTCAACTTTCGGCGGCGATTGCGGCAAAACGGTGGGAGATATCGACTTGAAACCTTCACTATCGTGTTCCTTGATCAATTCTCTATCGTTTGGTATGTATTTCGTTTCCCTAGCTCTAAAAATGGCGCGTTGGGAGCGCCGGAAGTCGGCAAGGTCACAGTCGGCGGCAGAAATTCGAAAAATCAAAATTTAAATTTTTGAAATCTGATTGTATTTTTGGATTTGGGAGGTCCATTTGCTCCCTATAGAAGCTAATATTGCTGCATATTCCCATTGAGGTGACAAGAATTAGCAAAATAGTGGTTCGGGCGCTTTTCAAAAATAGTACCGGACGCTGTTCCTCTTGTGACGTCATAGCTCCGTGACCTGACCTGACCCGGTCAAATTTCTTATACCATATAATAGCCAATACTTGCCCCAACATGCATGGGAAGTTTCATCACGATCCATCAACCGATGTCCGTACCACCGGCAGGAAACCTCGGGCGTTGGCACTCAGTTTGTGAAAATCCGGCCGGAGGCTGTACCTCTTATGACGTCATAACTCCGTGACCTGACATGACCCAATCAATTTTTTTTTCGGCAAAAGATGCGCAAAGGTTGCCCCAGAGGGCATTGAAAATTTCAGCCCGCTACGACAAGCCGTTTAGCGTGCACTTCGAAAAAACCTCAGGGGGGGGGTTGATACAACCCCCCCCCCCCTAGGCGTTCTAGGGTTAAGTTATCTTTGTGCACCGGCACAGTATGCCTTCAGGCGCTGACTCACAGTGCCATCTAGTGGCCAGTATGTACGTTACATTTGTGCGCCGGCACAGTATGGCTCAGCGCGACCCGGGTCAAACGTATATACGCCCGCCGCAAGTTCTCCGTGTTTTGTCCTGTTAGTTTCTGGAGCTGGAAGAGTGACATCGCAGGAGCGTCACAGTTCCAATAGTGTATCATTGTGATCAATTTCTGTGATAATTGTGGCTTGCATTCATTGTATTACGATTCATTGTGATGTGCGAATTATCATAAACAAGCAACCACTATCTGCGAGTTTCCTTGTCAACGAAGATGGCAGAAGCGACAAAATGATGACGCGGTTATAACCATGGGATGGGATCAAATATGCGACCTGTTCATTATAATATATCCATTATGAAAGGCAATCAAATTTAACACATAAAACTCCATTGGTACCCTTATGGTAATCGGCGAAATTTCGTGTCCAGTCCAGATATGTAGTAGTCTATGGCTCAGCTCAACGATACAAATCGACACGCGATGTGCATCATGACTTCGGCGAAAATGCAGATTGACCTGATATTTTCAAGCTTACCTTTAGGGTCAATGTGTCTGATTCTTGAATAATCGAAATGATGCTACAAAGAAGAGTCAGACATTTTGTTTTCCCACAGACAATGATTGTCTGAGAAAAACATGCTACCAATAACTGGAAAATACGTCATCATAATCATGACTACCTTCCACATCCTACCAATTCACTGTTGCAAGACACACGATTCCCCGCGACTCGCAAGTATGCAAAACAAGTCTAAAAGGTACACTTAAAGGTTACGAGGCCACTGTAGCATGCAGAGCCCACTAACCAGTAACATTGCACAAAACCCACCTACGATGCACAAACCTGCTGTCAGTTCTCTGCCGGAACCACTCTCCGGACTTTTTGAGTCTCAGAATGACGGAACACCCGGTGTCTCGTGGAGACCTCCCTCTTGCGCCCTCCTTGGTGCGGCCGTTGTGCTGGCACCGCACGCGTTTCTGTCAAGCAATTATATCCATGTTAACCCTTGCCGGGCCAGGGGGAGGGTTGATGCAACCCCTTAAGGCTTTTCGCGAATAACGTAAAAACGGTGGAATTTAGCATGCCCTCTGGGGCAACCTTTTGGCACCTTCCCTGATTTTAGGTCTGACATTTCAGGTCAGGTCACCAAAACCCGTACAATGTCAGGAGACAGGCAGGAAGAAAGAAAAAGGGAAAGGTTAAATAAAATGTTCTATACCGTCAGAACCGGCAGGCGCTTCCGCCCCAGTGTCGGAAGACTCGAAACACCAATAACATCTGGCATATCCTTGTCGATACATGACCGAAACTCCTTTATCATGTTGCTCAGAATATTGGCATTCGTATACCAGCATTTAAGCTTGCCCTTATTTTAAACTTCATGGTATAGGCTACTGGCCTGGTTTGACCGTTGTCAAGTCTAAAGTCAAGAGGACATTGGCTAGGCACCGATTTTCGAGTGGGGAGAGGGGGGCAAAGCAACATTAGCTGACTGATAAGCGAGTGTTTCTCTTCCCCATGCGTTTCTTTAACCCGCGCACCGACGGGGGTCCGCGCCAACTTAGAACCGACGCGACGGATAGGGGCGGTTGACCGCCCCCCGCCCCCCCCCCCTTGAGATCTCGAGAACGAAGCAAGATAGCGACAAGCGGTAAGCAGGATGCACGGACAAGGTCTACAATTTTTACTGAGATCATTTTCAAGTCAGGTCAAAGATGGCGTCACAGGGGTCAAAAAGGTTAAAATGGGGGCGCTAGATATGAGGAAAGATTTTTTCTCGAATAAATTTTAAAGTAGCAAAGCTAGGAACAAACCAATGACACCATCGTGTTCCTCTCGTCAATCCGCATCGAAACCTATGTGTTGACCTCGAAACGTCAAGGTCAAAGGTTGACCTCAGGTCACGTGACCTCAAGGTGGTCATGTATATCATTCGATGCGTCTTGACGAGCTTAACACAATGAAACCATCCGCGCGGCTTTACCTCGCTCCTGTAAGGAGTTATTAGCAAAAAACTTTGGTGACCCTTGATGACGTCACATGACCTTGTAGCTGCCCAAGAGCAATAAAAGGCCCCAAGGTAGTCAAGGTTGATCGTACATGAAGTCATTCATGGTTCAGGAGCGAGAAACGAGTGATGATAAAACGGGTAATTTTTGCTATGTCATCTTTTCTTGCACTCGACCAAACTGAGTATAATAAACTTTGTCACTGAGTGAACGGCATGCCAACTCAACACGTCATCCGCACTCAATCACATGTGTACCCAGTCTTCACCGAAGCACGCTAAGAGCTGTTGCTAAAAAAAAGACTGAGTTAGTCCACGTATTCCATACCTATCACATGGATTACAAACCAATATGTTTCCATGCATTCCATGTTCTTCACGCCTCCAGCTCCCCTCTGATTTAACAATTAAGCTCTGCGTCGACGTCGTAATCGTCGCGTTGAAAGGTCGGGAGTTCGGGACCTGCCATGCTGACTAGTGTTGCTCACTGTTGATCATGCTGAGTCTATCATCGCTTCTCACTTTGTTTGACAGACATACTTCCACATAAGGTGACGTTCAGTCTTATAAAATACGATTAAATTGATAATCAGAACCCGAAAAGTTGGGAGGGCCAGCCCCCCCCCCCTCCACACACACTCAAGCAAAGTGGGGTTGGCCGGCCCCCGGTGGCGACGCCCATGGACGTTGGGGAATTCTCATTCTTTCGCGTCGTTCTTTGTATGATAAGCATGTTAAATTATTCTTTATCTTTGACCGTGATGGACATTAACCTTGGTCTACTACCATTCAAGCATTTCAAGGATAGGTAACATCATCATCGAGCAATGAATGGTCATGAAGCACTAAATTACTCAGAAGAATACATGATTATATAGGTATAAATATTCACTAAAGTAGTCATTCAAGATCAATTTTTGGCAAATATGGAAAAAAGAAGATTATTATTTTATAATAATATATAATAAAAACAAGAAAATGTTAACGAATCAAGCTGAACGTCCAACCTACGACCTACGATTTATTCATCGAAACAGCCGAAACGAACCAAGAACCCGAAGACGAATCGCTGACGTCTTAACGAATGAAGGAATCACAACATATATTCATCGTACACTTCAAACATGGTTAAATTACAGACACTTTGCAAAAAAGTGTCTGTTAACGAATGAAGTGTCTGCGCATTTTAACCCTCGCCCGCACATGGGGGGTTGGGTGGTTGCCACCCCCCCCCCCCCCAGGTAGTCTTTCTGCTCTGCACTCAACATTTTTAGAGCTAGAAGGCTGATTTTTCGTATAACTGCTCCTCTATCCTTTCTTGATGTCCACTGAAAATTTCAGGTTTCTGTGACTTTTGGTTTCGGAGATATGACCTTGTTTTTCAGGTCATGTCATGACCCAAATGGCCAATTCTCGACATCTTGCGTTGGCTATGGGCCTTGTGAGCTTTTGACACCTTGATTTCGGCCTTTTTTACCAGTCTTACCTCCCACCTACCATGGAACATGTTGTTCGACGATGTACAGATGTCAAGGTCAAGGTCAAGGTCAACCTAGGTCATCTAAGATAATTACGTTTTAGGCAAGCGGAATTTACTTTTTGTGAAGTTTTTTGACTGCATTTTTGGTAAAAGCTTCTCAGATCATGATTTCATGTAATATGGACACATAAACAATCGGTGCACACATCAGTATACACACAGACACACACAGACATACAAACACCTATAATTGACCTTGACCTAACTTGACCTGAAATGACCTCAGCAGCAAAAACCTGGTCGGGTAGTGTGAGAAAGAGGTTCTAGCTGGCTTGGCACCAGAAAACGGCATCGTCATCGGTATATGATAAGCAGCGCACTTGATATCAAACGGTGACCCAAAACAGCAACATTTTTTAGTTTGACCTGACCTGGAAGGTCAATGAATGACCTGAGAAGGTAAAACTGGGTATCATTGGATTCGTCTCTTCCCAAATAATCTTTTTGGTCTTACCGCTAAGCTCTATCTCCAACAGGAACGAAATGGCGCGGGGGGTGGCAACCACCCACCCCCATGTGCGTTCTAGGATGGGAAAATGGCATGTGCTTGTGCGGGCGAGGGTTAATCGCGTGTTTTATTGTGTTAAAGCCAAGGGAGATAATTAGCTTCTTTTTTTCTTAAATAAAATTTATTCGACATCTATGCTATTTTACTGTGGTTTCTATAAAATATGAAAATTTCCTAGCACATTTTCGTATGTCAAAAATGATTTTTATTTTTGCAAAAAAGAAGCAGTACTTGCAGTACTTGCAACACCCACCGAAATGCGTTGCCCTTCTCGATAAAAAAAATCGCAGTGTATGGCGTTTTTGTTTCAAACAGCGACGCTTGGGTTTTCGTTTATGTTACTGTTTGTTGTTAGCTTGGTCATGGCTTGGTTGTCAGTGTCGTGTGTAGGGCGTTGGTTGTAGGTGCATAGTACCCTACAACCAACGTGTGTAGGTCTAGGCAGGCCCATGGCACTCCACTTTTGATGACATCATAAGGGGGCCTCAGGACAATAATGGCGTGGTGCGCCACAATCGCTTCAAAGCTACTTGCCAACAGTTGCCATATTTGAAAATATTATTTTGAAATAAAGTTACAAGTAATAAAAATATTGTAATTAAGTTGTTGATTAAATCGATACCTAATCTAAAAACTTACTGAAAAATGATTTATTCATAGTAAAAATATAAGCTCGATGCGTTTTTACGTTGCTTTCCTGCAACTGCAGAGGACTTTTAAATCGTCTATATCTTCAAAACCGGCCATTTCTTAGCATATTGCTGCTCTTTTTTATCGCTAGAAAATTAGTTGGACTTTCCAATGACATCAACGGTTGAGCGATATGTGTAGAGTGTCACCAACAATCTTCAAATGAAATTAGCCATTTTTACGTTGTAAAGGAATGGAGCACCCCTTGCGAGCATCAGGGGTGACGTCACTCAGGATCTGTCTCTGATTGGTCGGCGGGGGAGTGACTGTACCTTCTATAGATGGCCTTGGGTCTAGGCAGTGGCGGATCCAGGGGGGCAAAATGGGCATTTGCCCCCCCCCCCAAACGGCATAATTTTAACATTACGCCTATGGACGATGCATGGAAAGAATCGATAAATTGTTTTGGTCCCCCCCCAAACCTCTGAGCTGGATCCGCCTCTGGGTCTAGGTACTGGGGCCATTCAAATCAGATGGAACGCAGCTACGAAATTTATGGCATCCGGTACACATGTATTTCGACGCACTGGTATTCTAAGAAAGGTAATGTATTTGTATCAATATATGAAAAGAATCTTTTGACATACTGACTAATGAAATAACTTATACCAAATTCTTCCAAAAATAAAGAGCAAGACTGTGCTCTCATTCGTTCCTTATTTAAAATGAGATATGCTGCAACTAAATTATGTATTGTCCGGTACCTTATAATTAAAAGCATTCGTACACGTCGAAAAAACAAATGTATAAGAAAACCTTTTATTCACGAATCGACCATAAAGGCAGCAATCAATTAAAATAAAAATTTTCAAATATTATTTAATTCTTACTCACCGATTTCACTTAAACCTGCAAGTACTTGCTCACCCATCACTACCAAGCGCGGAGCGTTTGAGCTACTTCAACTTAAAAAAAAACATGGTAATTTTGTGAGTTCGGCAAAATGCAATGAATTTACGTTATATTTATACATTTTCTACTAAAAAATGGTCCCAACTCCAATAAAGTGGGAAAAGGTCATAATCTCCCTTTAAATTCAACGAATGATGTTTTGAAGTTTCTAGGTTAACAGTACACATTTTGATTTCTGTGTTGGTCTTTTATAGGTAATTTTAGTGCTTTAGACAGGCTGATGAAGGAAGACGGATGTCTTCCGAAAGCTATACCAATGAAAATAAACAAAGCTGGTGTCCTGAACAATCTTTACCAAGAACAATACCACTGTCCCTGCTCAACAACATCAACTATAACATCGAATGTCACCATCGTGTTGTTCTACTCCCAAAGGTACCCATAAGACATGTGTTGCATGTTGCGAATGCCAATTTTGATTTTCGGGGATATGCTCTTACCGGATTGACCTGACCTTGACCCGGACCTATGCTTGACTGACCCCTACATGAATTTGACACTCGTTTAGAACTTAAATGAAGGGTATTGCGCAATCATGACAGAGTTTATGACGAGAGACGGCCAGTGCGAGATTTTAAAGTCCATGCTACTGAAGACCAATGTCAGGTGTTCGACCTCACCTTGACCCGACCTTTGACATCAAGATTGAGATTCAACTTTCAAATACTCATTCTAAGCGTCTCGTCGCCTTCTTTCTTTTGCCGCATCACGCGTTGCGCTGCGCGTATTGGTTCTCGAGTTATTGGCTGGGGGCGTTTACGAAATATTCCACCAACTGACAGACTAAGAATCATTCGTTGACACGCATAAGCATTTGCAAGCAGTGGTATCACAGTAAATGCCACCAAATGTCGTGAATAGAATAACACGCCTTTTTAGATTGGCCCAGGAGACATCAAATTGATAGGGAAAAGATAGTGAAAGTTTCATGCTCCTTTCCTTAAACATTCGAGAGCTATCGGAAATATATATCAGGGGGCGAAAAACGCCCCCGGGCCCATGAGGTTAACGCAGGTCAGAGAAAGTTCCTGTGTTGATGACCTATTTAATTCAGGAGTATTTTAATTCAGTCTTCAAGGTTAAAGGTGATTTGTGCGATTCTGCTGTTAATTGCAAGTTGGCAACGATAGTTAGAAATTTCCGTAAAGTTTGTTCGCCCAATGCTTCATTAAAACTGCGGTTTATATGTAAATATTTTATGTATTTACAAAAATCAATACGGTCCCAAACACATGACCACTAAATTTCAATTATTCAAGGACTTCACTGAGTTCACAAGTTCAGCCTGAATCCTATGACTATAAACTATAAAGCAAGAATACCCACATTTGGGTAAGCAGACAGTTTGTAAAATCATTAAGAAAGATGCATGCCTAATACCTATGATCTCTTCATAACTTGTATTGGTAAAAAATTGTCTTAGATAATACCATTCACCTGTAGTGTGTTTTGTTGCGAAATACACAAGTTCATTAAAAACTATTGGCCTGGATAACCACATTAAACAAGTAACAGCTCCAACACTACTGATCATAATTGGAAAAGTGTTACCGATCAAACCGTGTTATAATACATATAACAGGATGTTCCTTAAACTTGCTTTGTATTTGTTGGCCAATTTTTAAGTCCTGTCGAGCTGTAAGTGTACATACTGTTCGCGGCATGCACAATGGCAAATATTAGTGTTTATAAGCGAATCCTATTCACCATGGCCTTTAGAACTAACATCTTCATTGCACATGCAATATTCACATTATTATAAGTTAATAGCGCTGATGGTAAAAAACTCAATATGAAAAATATAATCTCGCCATCAATCACGCAGCACGCTTGACATCGGAAAACACAAACTCATCGGGCACCCGAACGTTGATGAGCGTTAAACGGAGGAACAGCCCTGTTTTGCGGTAGGCAACAGTAACACACCCTGGTGATACCGGTGCCAGCAGCAACTAGCGCTTTCGGTTTTCATGGAAGCATCAACAAACTCTCATTGTGCTTGTCCTGGTTTGTTTACGGTTCCAATCTATAGAAACCGAAAATGCTAGTAGCGCGCTGTGAAACAAGGCCCAGATTGAGCGCCATTATGAAGCTGTATACCGTATAGATGTCGCTGTAAGAGCCGTCTGACCTATATAGGTGTCGCTCTAGTAGCCATCGGACCTGTATAGATGCCGTTGTAGAAAGTATTGTTTATTAGGTCTTTAGGGCGCGTTGACTTCGGTGGTGATTTGCAAAAGCCGTCCGACCAGTGAGACGTCGCTTCAGAAGCCGCCGAAGCTGTGAAGATGTCACTCTAGTAGCCGTTGGAGTTGTTTGCGGCTTCATCTAGTGCGGCTCCGATCAAAGCACGCGGTCACTGCGGCAATCTTAGAGCCACATGTGCAGACTTCTGGCCAGGTGGGGCCCCAGGTCGATCGAGTTTTCCAGCCCCGGTGGCGAGAGGCGGCCCTGGCGAACACATCAGCGCCGGTATCAGCTGGATGCAGAACGGAAACTGTGGCCCAGCACTCTGCTGGCTGAACAGTGAACACTCTATGCCATGCATAGCGCCAGAGGACCCCGCAGCAGAGAACTGAGAACCCGTGTAATGCATGTCGGTGTTAGACTGAGGTGGGGTGAATAATGTAGGTGTGGGGAGCCAGGGCACCGACCAGATCTAAAAAAAAAAAAACACAGACCAGTATTTACCTAACTTACTAGAAATCACTCATACCGTGGCTGGTTAATGGTCAATGGTCATGTAGCTCAGGGTACTCATGTGCCACACATGCAAGAGTGTGGCAAGACGGCAATGACAGCGTGAGTTGAGATATGACAGCGATAAATGGTAGGAAGGTGCCTGTTTTGTTGAGAGAAAGTGTACAGAAGAAATATCAAACACGAACAGTCGTTGCCTAGTTACGTACGAGGGTACGGGTAAAAGAGAAGTTACCAAGGTATGAAATAAAGTTATTGCTGTAAAAAACTTCAGTGTTTCAGAAGCATCACGCTGAGGATTATACATTCACCGTAACGTTACGCTGCCAGCACTGATGTTCGACCTCGAGTTGGACCGGCGGTGTTAGTTACCAGTTAGACGGGTCAACGGGTCAGTGCCAGACGCCATTCAGCTGATCCTCCTCCGACCGGAGCCGCGGCTGGAACGCCAGTCACGTGACGGTTAGCACAGCTCTTAGCCGAGTTATGCGGCAGTTAAGGCAGCTGCGTGGTAAACCACGTGACAAAGCAGTCAGTGGGCTAGTCACGCAACGGTTACAGTCTTCAAGCGAGACGCAGACACCTCAATTGCAACACATCAATCATGTGCGTCAGAGCAGCTCTGGGTAGATAGGTGACGGTTAAAACAGCCCTAACATGAAACGCAACAGCCCTGACGCATGCCTACCGGCTCGTTTACTGTATAACTGGCCAATTCAAATATATTAGCCGGGGAGTTGTAGTGTAAACTGGAGTAAGCAAGGTGACCACACCACGGTAAAAAAGTTTGCATTGAAGTCAACATTTTCGGATGGTCTCGTTCAAAAGTCGGCTAAAAGCTTAGTTCTAGAAAATAAATTTATAACTGACATAAAACAAAATACATACCAAACTCGGCCGGTGATAAAATTTTAAAACCCCATTCCTTCCTATTTTTTTAAACTCGATCTCAGACCTCTTTCAAAAATCCAGTAAGGACCTCGATCTTGAATATGTATTAACACCGACCTCGTTCAGTGTTATATGTTACCGCACTTCGCCCCTATCTTACCAGGATGCGGTGTTTTTCTGCGCAGGCGAACTCTGTCTCGTCGACGTCTCCATAGCAATCCGACTGGTGGCCAGGCGGCAGAGGCCGGCCCTTGAACTCGCAGAGCTTGCTCAGCGGCCGAGACTTGACCAGCATGTCGTCGAAGGACTTAGGCTTGTGCACCGGACAGTAGAAGACGTCTGGCGTCCGCGGGTTGAACACGATCGACTTCCGCAGCATGTCACCGCCCAGGGCAGAGCCGATCTGGGGGAACGGGGTCGGAAGTCAAAATGGGTGCCCCGGGTCATAAAAAACGCCTGAGGGACAAGGCAAGCAAGGTATGAACGTTCCCAGAGGGGTGACATGTCATATGGAGTCACGGTTGATCGCAGGTCAAAGAGAGGGCATTTAGATTTATGCAGGTGGTACATTTTGTTTTGGTCAGAAACTTTGGCCGCGAGTTTCCTAAAAACCACAGCTGGATATGTCAGTTCCCATTAACCTTCGCCCGCACATGGGGGTCCCCCCCAGGTAGTTTTTCTGCTATGCACTCAACATTTTTAGAACTAGAAGCCTGATTTTTCGTATAGCTGCTCCTCTATCCTTTCTCGATGTCCACTTAAAATTTTAAGTTTCTGTGGTGTTTGTTTTCGGAGATGTGACCTTGTTCTTCAGGTCATGTCATGACCCAAATGACAAATATCCACTATCTTGCGTTGGCTATGGGTTTTGTGAGCTTTTGACACCTTGATTTCGGCCTTTTTGCCAGTCTTACCTCCCAACCATCATGGAACATGTTGTTCGACGATGTGCAGATGTCAAGGTCAGGATCAAGGTCAACCTGGGTCATCTAAAAACATTACGTTTTAGGGCTGAATTTACTTTTCGTGAAGTTTCTTTGACTGTATTGCTGATAAAAGCTTCTCATTTCATGATCTCATGTAATATGGACACAATCAATCGGTGCACACATCAGTATGCACACAGACACACACAGACATACAAACAAATATCATTGACCTTGGCCTAAGTTGACCTGAAATGACCTCAGCAGCAAAAACCTGGTCGGATAGTGTGACAAAGAGGTTCTAGCTGGCTTGGCACCACGATTCGGCATCGTCATCGGTGTATGATGAGCAGCGCACTTGATATCCAACGGTGACCCAAAACAGCAACATTTTTTAGTTTGACCTGACTTGAGAAGGTAAGACTGGGTATCATTGCCCATTGGATTTGTCTCTTCCCAAAGAATATTTTTGGTCTTTACCGCGAAGCTCTATGTATCTCCAACAGCAACGAAATGGCGCGGGGGTGGCACCCCCCCCCCCATGTGCGTTCTAGGATGGGAAAATGGCATGGGCGGGCGAGGGTTAAATACCTACACTTACAGGTAGATATATGTACAATATACATGCAGGTATTCAACTCCCAAGTGGAATGTAAACACCCCCAGATGAGACCTGTTTGAGCGCCGACCAGCTCAATGAGCAATTTGCCTGTGTCGGTGCCCGAGTTGCTGCCGAGGCCGCCCGGGCCACCGGCCTGTCCGGCGTCCCGCGTGCCGGTCCGCGACCGTAGTTAGGGTGCCTGCAGCGGCATTTGTGCCCCACTGTGTCACGCTGCCAGAGTTGTCCGTCGCGTTGCGGGGCCTGAGTGCGTCCGGGGCGATGGGGGTCGACGGCATGCCCATCAGTGCCATCAGGAAATGTTATCCTGCCATTGCCCCCCACATCCATCACCTAATAAACGCTTCCATTTCCACCCACACCTTCCCCGACGCGTGGAAAATTGCCATAGTCTCACCTATTCATAAGTCTGGCGACACCCATATCCCTGGCAATTTTCGACCGATCTCGATCCTTCCAGTCCTATCCAAAATCCTTGAAAAAGTAGTATGCTCTCAGCTCAGTTCCTATCTTATCACAAATCACATCCTTTCCCCTTCCCAGTACGCCTACCGTACATCCCACTCAACTGAAGATGCCGTCCTCGACGCTGTCAATTTTGCTGCCCGGAGAATAGACGCTGGTGATGTTGCGTCATTAACGTCGATAGATCTGAGTAAGGCTTTTGACAGCGTCGACCACACGATACTTTTAACAAAGCTTGGGTGGTACGGCATCTCCCCAAGGTGGATCAGCAGCTACCTTTCCGGCCGCTCCCAACTCGTCCGCGGAGGTTCCTCAGCGGCTCTTCCTCTCTCACATGGAGTCCCTCAGGGCTCCATTATCGGCCCAATCCTCTTCCTTATCTTTGTCAATGACCTATCCTGTTTCCTACCCCATGGTCATCTCCTATCCTACGCGGATGATACCCAAATCCTTGACTCAGCACCTCCCAATCCCAATGATCTCCAAGTGCTGAAGTCTCGGGGCGAGGAAAACATTAGAAATCTTAAATACTGGTTCGGCTCAAACAGTCTCAAAATGAACTCTGACAAAACCTCCTTTATTCTTTTCGGCACTCAAAATTCCATCGACCAAACTTCCGGGTTTGTACTCGAAGTCGGTGACACTTGCATTCGACCACAGAGAGAAATTAAAATGTTAGGTGTTCTCGACCAAACCCTGAGCTGGGAGTCCCACATATCCTCCATTGTCCGGCGAACCAACGCAATCCTCATATCCCTCTACAAAATCCGTCACCACCTATCACCTGAAATCCTAAACATCCTTGTGCAGGCTCACGTTTTCCCACACCTGTGGTACTGCTCATCAGTCTGGGGCGGTGCCTACAACTACAGCCTGGACCGACTCCAAAAAGTCCTGCATTTTGCCGCTCGGCTCGTATCTGGCCTTCGCCGGAACGACCACATTACCTCAACCCTCCACGCACTCGGTTGGCCCACCATCAGGAGCGTGGTCGCGCGGCGCGACGCGGTAAATGTGTACCGGGCTCTTTTTTGTTTTTGTTTGTTTTGTTGGGTTAGGCCCTTTCGGTCGACAAGACCATTGCAGAGCCGGAAGGATGATAGGAATTAGGGGGAGACATTGGTCTGGGCAGGCATCCTAGTGAGTCGCCGGGGCTGAGCCCGTCCGAAGACAGGCCACCCAGCCCCAAGGCACTCACTGCACCCGGCTACGGGGTGCGCTCCCTCGGGAGCAGCGGTGCCGCTCCAAGAGAGCAGCCCGCATGAGATAAAGTTGCCTGTCCAGCCCGGAGGGGGGTTGTGGCGTGGAGGAGAAGGATTTCAGTTTCCTGAGGATAGAAGCACGGATAGGTGATCGTACCGGGCTCTACACGTGCCGTCTGCCCCAGAGTCGCTGAGGACAATGTTTGTCCAGCGTAGCGCTGTTTCCGAGCGTGTCACGCGCGCCACCGCCGCGGGAGCGGCTGTGCTGCAGCCGCCTCGTTTCCGTATGGTGGTGACACGGCGGCTCTTCCCTCATAGAGCCGCTGTGTCATGGAACGCGCTGCCGCGGGAAGTGACGAGCACGGCGTTCCGGGTGCCAACTGCCACTGGAGCGTCATTTTTGTCCCGGCTGACGCTGCGGTTTTATACTGACTTGTAAGCTTTACTTTTCATTATGTCGTGTAATGTATGCTGTCTTTATTAATGTAACTGACTAGGCCGTAATAGCCACTGAATGGTGGATAAGCCTTATAATAAATGACAATGACAATGACAATGACAATGTACCTACTTACACAATAAAACAAAGTTTTCAATTATTACAATGCATATGAATGAACACGGAAATAAGTTAGAAAAAAAAAACGTGAATCCAATGCTCAATGCTCATCCTTAATTTTACTCACCAGTAAAAACAGGCATGTGATGGATCCAAGGTTCCCTGTGAAAGGACAATGGTTGTAAGGGTCTAACATGCCACGAGTTTTGAAACGATTAAGGAACCATGCACCTTTCCGCTACTTATACAGTAGGTGTACCTATAGGTAATGTATGTAGATAACAAAACATTGCACCGCTGGCATGAAGCGTTCATCTCCATAATTATTCACAGTTCACACACCATTCATAACTAGCAGAGTCCCAACCACAGGCACGCGATTTCTCCTCCACTGAATAAGTCAGAATTAAAAACGCAGCGTGATCAGGAGGTATACCTAATTAAATATCGCATGCAGGAGTAACCTTCCTTCTCCAGGCATTGCCTTCCACTCCACAGACCAGTCGCCCTCTGGACACTGGCAGTGGCTACTATTCCATAGAACATTCGCCCTCTCTGAACACTAGCTAATATTTGATATAGCAATCGCCCTTTTGACAATAATAACTTTCCACACTGCACTGCATGCAACACATAAGTGCAGTACGACCCCCTCTTAGCGCGCCCCGTGGCCCGCCGGTTTCGTCTCGGCCGCCGCCCGATCTTTGTCCAGGATGCAGCATCCAACAACCGGTTTTACCTGCTTCACGTGAACCGGTATGACGTGGGCCAATGGACGCAAGGTAGCCATGATGTGTACCAGAAATAAAACGGCACGGCATTCTGCTATTTTCATGCAAATTTATCCAAGTTGAAGCAAGACACTTTGTTCATAGATGCACAAAGGACTGCCAAGGTCAATGCAGTTCCTCTTTGCTTTGTCGAGCCTGCTAGCCAATAGCTTTCCCGATCATTATGTATTACTCCGCCATGGTAAGCTTTCAAACCAAATGTTTCTTATCTTTATAGATCGGACCCTCAGTTTCCCAACCCTATCGGTCACTTACCCATTGTGTCGGCGAGGCTGTCCTCTGTGGCCCTCGGCAGGTGTGTGGGGCTGCTCTCGGCACCGGCGGCGGGCGTGCACTGGGAGCGCCGTGCACGGTGCACGGGCTAATCCCGCGTGCCAAGGTCTCCCTCCCTCCCTCTCACGGCAGCGCCCACGCCATGCCCAGTCGGCTGGCTGGTTATACGGGCCACCGCACCACGCTGATCGGCGCAAAAACCGCCCTTATCGACACAGACTGGGTGGAGACGCGTGAGCGCCAGTATGGTTTTTATCTGAACGGAAGGGGCGATGGATAGTAAATAGCATTGTAGCATTGTTATTGAGTTACGGATGTTTTGTTCCTTAGTAACAACCAGCTTCTATAAGAAACGCGATTATCTCATCTCATCATGTTATTTGTCTCGCTCAACCTCTTGGTTGCTTGCATAGGCGCGGGAACTACTTTCAGACTGGGGGGCACACCATAATGGAGATGAACCTAGGGTACCCCCAAATCTAGTTTTCTCACCGGTTTTAGGCCACTTATTTTTCATCCCTTGGCTTTTTCAGCAAAAAAGAAAAACATTTGCAAAAAAAGTGCAGTATTTCGTCTCAAAGTTGTGGGGGCACCGCCCCCACGGCCCTAGAGTTGGGGGGGGGGGCAAGCTGCCCCCACTGCCCCCCGGCTCCCGCGCCTATGGTTGCTTGGATAAAGTTATTCATATCAACTAATTAGGCAATATCATATAATTAAGTCCCTGGTGTAATATGCTTTGGTAATTCGTGCCAGTTGTAACCGCTTATATCACTTCTAACGAAATCAACGTTTAAAATGTGTCGATTTAATTAAGCGATACAAAGTAAATATCACTTATAGGCACCAATTAAACAGTACCTGTCAAGAGATGTTCCCATCCCACAAGCCTGCAACGCCGACCTCAGACGATGTCCTAATAAGACAGGGGTTGCGTTTCAAGCTGCTCGATCTGGCGGCGTCTGAAGCGTTGAGGATGAGACAGGGCCGCTGCACAGGGAGGGGGGGGGGGCGTTGATGCCGTGGTGCACGATAGGCTTAGATGAATCTCGAGGAATGCACTGTTTCATTTCGCTCTATTCGAATTTGACGACATTTTTTAGGTTAAATTTAGGTATGACTGCGTGACAGGGGATCGACCCGGCTTATCCTCACATCTGGTCCCGCCTGGATTACATACGGCACGGTCAAATGTCACTGCGGTCCCATCCGCCGCTCCGCGCCAAATGTGACGGGCGTCTGATAAGTACCGTAATTCAATGGTCTCAGAACCTGTTTTCGCCCTTCCGGACGGGTAAGGAAGGCTTTCCATGGAGGGTCTGCCCGCCTGTGCCCTGTCCGGCGCCCAGACGATTAGCGGGTTGGGGGGAAGGGGGAGGGTCCGTTAGTCGGGCTGGGAATGGTCGCGCAAACAACCCTCCCGCACAGCGGGGGTCCGGCCGCCGCGGACGGATAATGGGTGCCGATGGGGGGTTGGGAGGGGAGCACCAGACGCCAGAAAAGGCACATACCTCCCGGACAAGGCGTCAGCGCTACCGTCACCGTACCATCGGCGCACGGCGCCAGAGCAGTGGCGGCTCAACGAAAATGTTACGATCAGGTGGGATATTTGGAACGGCCCCTTCTGGTACTGAACAGGAGGCACGAAGAATTCAGACTTCAGAGGCGAAATCAAAAGGTCAAGCGCTCATTGGGCGAGTGGGCTCCTCGGCTAATCAGAAGTATTGTGATGAGCTAAGGACCCCCTAATTAGCTCAGATGGTATCTAATTACCTACCGACTGTTCAGACGGCTTTGCCGCGTACTCAAGGTCCGCTGTTGGGTGCTAAAAGTCGGTAGGTTAGGAGCCGCCACATGCCCAAAGGTCCTTCAGAGGCTCAGATTGTCTCAGTAGTTCAGGCGACGCTACGATATATATTAGAAGGCCCTCTTGATAGCTCAGCGGGCCATCCGTACTCGGTAGCTGAAAAAGTAAAGATACGCTACGCATTCGGTACCTAACCAGATGCTTTACAGACTGAAAATAGATATGAAAATAGAATAACTAAGCGAGTAGCCTACATCCTTAGTAAACGATAGTTAAATGGAGTTCACTCATATGATTTCAAGTGGCCCTGTGATGCCCGTACCACTTTTTGTTTAGGAAGATGTAACAACTTCAAATATGGGTCGTGAGAATCCGAGGGTGAGAGCCTCCATCGCGCCCTAGATCAGCACTGTTGCCTTTAAGTAAAAAGAAAAAGAAAAACAAAGGGAAACCCGTTTGTACTATTTTAGTCCTCATTCAGGACATCAATCCATGTTTTCTTTTAACTACGAATTCATAATATCCAGGGCGTTGTATTACGCTACGAACAGGTTTGCTTTTCTTTGTATCATTATTATGTTGCACGAGTTATTACGCAAATAATCATTGGAATCTATGTACGGACAATTAAAAAGTATATTCCAAGGACGGTGTGATGCTAAAAATTAGTAATACATTTCTAGACCGCATAATACACAGGTTATCTCACCAAAAGAGAAACGAAACGGTAAGCATAGGGAAAGCCGTATATTTATTTTCAATTCAACGTATCCTGAATATGGCTAACATACAAATTCGGGGCACCCAGAAAACGGAAATAGTGCCATCTGCCCTGGTTTACAAATCTTGTCACTTAAATCGGCTGACCTGACAGGCTGGATAGCCTGCTGTACGGTGGTGGTTAATAACATACCTGCGATATGTGCTGGAGACCTGAGGCCAGTTTTACCAACTGGAAAATAGCCGCCTGCCAGCTTGTTTTGCCTAAAGGCCGTTTTAAATACGGAGTAAACGCGATGGGCACGTAAGCGGATAGGGCTTTACCGTATGTGAAACTGCCTTCAGGCAGACAATTCCGACAGGCGGCTATTTTTCTGTTGGTAAAACTGGCCTCAGCTTCAGAAAGTTCAGAAAGTACTGTCACCAGCCCTGAGTGGAACTCTGGTCGGCCGATTGTTGAGGTAGTTATCACACTATAGGCTGAAATAGATTATTTCCGCAGTCTGGAAATCGCATGCGAGAGCCTATTCAAATACATTATCATGCTTCCCGCTTCAATCGCATGCGGGAGGTGCGTCCGATTGATACGGGAAGCATGATAGGCAATGGTTTTGAATAGGTTCTCACATGCGATTTCCCAACCGCGGAAAGAGTCTGTTTCAACCTTATGGCTGCTCTTTGTAAGTAAATAAAACATACAAAAGACATTTTGTAGTTTTTATTGATCGGCGAAAGCCGAAATGTCATTTTCTGAGCGTTTATTGAAAGTTTTTTTTTTTTTTTTGGACGGGGGGACGTCGGGGTACAATACAAACACTTCGTCATGGCTAAACATCGGTCAGGTGCAATGTACATAAGCCATTACCTGTAGTAAAGAGCCAGTAGCCTACGAATATTTTCAAGAAACAATTAGACATAAATCTAAGTGTTTCTTGAATATATTCGTAGGCTACTGGCTCTTTACTACACTCCTGTCCAATATATATACAAGCCATCACCTGAGCTCACTTTCACTACACAACACTACCAAACATCTACGATCGAAACAAAAACAGTTATGTATCGTGTCAGACATTGTGATATTTATTCACTTTCGATGATAATGGCTATTTAGAATATTTGCTTTTGTGTTATCATCGAAAGTGAATAAATATCACGAAAACAGTTATGACAAGCAAATGGTTAACTAAATCTATCAACTAAATCTAACATGAAAAGCGACAAGGAATCGCCTTTCAGCCCGGCAGCGCACCGCCGGGATGACAGGTGGCATGACGTGGCATGACAACAACAAACTACACTAGCAGCCTCTACGTGACTCTAGCCTCCAGGGCTAGTAATCCCCTTCCCTCACCCTATCAATGTCTGGACAAAACTACATAACTTACTCACAGAATTATTGCTATTCTATTGCTCGATTAGCAACTATATGGTCTGGCCGACCCGAGTTCAATGCAATACAATACTATTTACAATACAATATTTGTGCATTGTATCACACAATACAATACAATGTATTGTATTGTGCAACACAATGCATGCATGATGCAATGCATCTGACAAAACACAGCATAGCAATACAATCAATAAATTACACTACAAATGCATACAACAAAACACAACACATACAAACATAATTACAATACAGCAAATGCAAGACAATGCATGTACGATGGAAAGGTGAAAATGGCGTCAATCATTTAGTTGACAAATGATGTTCAATCTCCTTGTCGTCGAACGTAAATGACCTATCAGATGTGTCTTTTAGACACTTTGTATCCTTTTGCGCAAAGGTTGACAACTTGATTCCCTGACCAAGGTTGTCTCTTCCCTTGGCTGTCGATGTAAATAAACTTACTTATCGGTGGTGTCCTGAAGACATTTGTATCCTATCACCAGATTAGTGACTACGTTTGTTGACAGGTGCTCTGGTCAGATCCACGGGCGAGCTATCACAATAACAGTCGGTCGGCGCCCGGCCGCAGCCGCCGCAGACCTGGCGCAGACGGCGCAGCAGCTCGCTCTCCACCAGACTCGCGTCGAGCTGCTGCGGAGCGCCGTGACTGCTGGGCCGCTGGACGGGCGACTGGCGGGGCATCTGGAGCTGCGGCAGCCGCGCCTCCGAAGCCCGCAGCAGCTCCTGATGCAGCGGCGGAACAGCTGGGACACGGGGCGGCTGCTCGCCGGGCAGCGGAGCCGACCTGCGGTGCGCCTGCAGCAGAGAGGGGTGAAGGGAGCCCGGCGGCGGCACGCGGAGGTCCAACTCATCCATGGGCGGAGACGGAGACAGAGGCAACGGGAAGGGCAGCATGCCCAAACGCTGGCTCAGCAGGGTGGTGCGCATCTCGTGCTGCTGCAGCAGCAAGTTGATCATCTCGGCATTCAGCGCGCGTGCAGCAGCGCCCGAGCCGCTGACGGCCGGCGCGGGGTTGGCCTGGCCGCTCGGTACCGGTCTGAACGCCGCCGGGGCAACCAGCGACGGATGGCCAGCGCTGGCCACCGGGCCGGGTCGCTGCTGAGGGTACGGCTGGTGCCGCTGGCCGGCAGAGCTGGGACGGTCCTGCCAATCACAACAGGAAAAACGCGTTAGTAAGAAGAGACCGGCACGTTGCACTAGCATCATTGAACGCTAGATGAGATCAACATCACATCAAGACCCACAAGACGCATTTGCTAATCTGGTTTATTATACGCAACGCAACACTTTGGTTTTCTATATTCATGTAACAGTCACCAAGTCACACTGAGAGCCAGAAGGCACTACGATCAGATTCTGCCCCCTGATTCTGAACACGTTTCTCACCTGAACTCGTGACGGCTGGACATCCACCTGTCTGGCCGAAGAGGGGCCCGCTCCGCCGCTCAGACGCCGCGTGATGTGATCACGCTCCTCGGTGAGCTGCTGGATCCTCTCCCGAACACGGCGGGACTCCCTCTCGAGCAGCGCAGACTCGGCCTCCAGATGACTGACTTCCTGGTCGATTTCCTGGCGCCTCTGCCACTGGTTCAGCATCTCTTGCTCCAGCTGTCCTCTCTGCTGCTGATGATGATGCAGACGCTGCTGCTGCTGCTCCTGTTGTCTTTGACGCTGCTGCTCCTGTTGCTGCCTTTGCCGCTGCTGCTCCTGTTCTTGTCTTTGACGCTGCTGCTCCTGCTGTTGCCTTTGACGCTGCTGCTCCTCCTCATGCTGGTCGGAGATCCTCAGCTGAGCGGGCTGGTTCTCCTCTTCCTTAACAGGTTCCTCTGGCGTGGACGTCCCAGCCGTAGCCAAGCCGCTGGAAGTCTCCTTCGGAAAAGTGGTCGAGCTGCCTGGATGGGTGTAGCGGAAGCTGGCAGGACGGCGACCGAACTGGGAGTTTGCGCGGTCCATACCCACCTGTGGAGGTAAGAATCAACTCGGTCAGACAATGCGGCTACAACTAAAAACGAACTCACTGTTTTGTCCATTTTTGTATTACCTAACCAGAAACTCGCTCAGAAACTAAAAAAAAAACAATTCATTCTCACCTTGATGCACTTGGCGTAGCGACATCCCTTGCAGAATTTCCGGTTATCTAGCAGGATGTTGCAGTTGCCGCCTTTGGTGCACACCGGTTTCTCCTTATTGGCGTAACGTCCAAAGAATGACTGAAAAAGGACAACACAAATTACCTACTGAGTACTCATACCACGCCGGGACAGGGGAAACGGAGCACAACAGGCGGAAACACAGGTATGTATGTGAGACATTGATTGACGCTCGCACCTTTCATTTTCTGAACACATTTGTAAAAATTAGTTCGTCAATGCTAGAATGTGTATTGTGTATGGGTATTCTGTAGCTTTGACTACATTCACTTTTTAATTCGTTAATTCTGAGTAAATTGATCCAATCGTTAATTAAACGTGAAAACATAACGTGCAATTTGCTTTTTAGTTGAAAAAAATAAAGATAGAAAGCTAAAACGAGTATAGGAGCCCAAACAGAAACCTATAAGACGCAGACATTTTATATTCTAGCACTTTACTGCTTCTCACCTTGCAGCCCTCACAGGTGAAGACGCCGAAGTGGAATCCGGCGGCTGGTGACTCACATACGGCGCACGGGATTTCCTCCTTCTGCGGGAAACATATCGATAAATGAGATTCCATTTCTCCAGAAACAGCTGCTAGAACGTACCAAAATTTCCCAGTTATTGTACAATATGTATAGTAGAAATTTCTTTTATTTAGCAATAACCATAATTGTAGAAAGAATTAATAATACCCTTTTGCTCATAACAAAGGTGAGTAAAAAAAAAAAAATACATTATCGGTGCTGGACCTTCTTCAGTGGAAGAAGATAAAGTAAGCTAAAAACAAATCCAAAATATATTTTCGTTGCTATACCTTCTTCAGTGGAAGAAGCTCCAGCACCCAAAATATATTTTGGATTTGTTTTTGGCTTACTTTAGGCATGAGCAAAAGGTTAACTCTTTCTACAGTTATGATTATAATCATGCTAAAAAAGTCTCAAACCATTCAAACTTTACCAATAAACCCTACAGAATAGCCGTGATCTTACCTTTTTTCCGTTTGCTCTGCTGGGTCCCGGCTGTGGCTCGTCGCTCTCGGTCTCGGACCGGCCGTCACTCTCGCCGTTTGTCTCACTGGGTATCGGCTGGTTCGGCTGCCCCGTCGGAGAGCGACCTTCTGGTGGTGAAGAGTTTTCCCGGCGCTCAGCCACCACGACTACCACCGCCGCGGCCTCCGCCGCCGCCTCCGCTGCCGCTGCCGCCTCCGCCGCCGCCGCCTGCCGTTGCTGCTCCTGCCGCTGCCGTCGCTGCTGCTGCTGCCGCTGTTGTCGCTGCTCGGACTGGTTCCCATGGGCTGATGGTCCTGCTTGATAATTGACTAGCTTGTCGCCCACATTGTCCACCTGCATCGGCTCCTGGACGTCGGCGTCCTGATCATTTGCAGACGAGTCGTCGGCACGTGCAGCGCTCCCTGCCGCACCCGCCCGCTGCACGAGGCGCTCCTCAGCCTCGGGACGCTCAGCAGCACCGGTAACAACACCACTCTCACTAGCTTCTCCGCGTTCTGCAGCTTTCCCATTCCAGTCTCTCGATAGGCGGCTCTTCAGCTGAGGCGGAGGCATATCTTCGTCGCGGCACTTGACTAGCTGATGACTGAGATTAAAGTGTGGAGCGCATCCTTTTATAGATTCACACCGGATATGGTGCCCCAGGGGTCACACCAGTCCCCCTACCAATCAGACGCACTAGGACCGGCACAGGGACTCTTTGACAGCCAATGGGATTAGCTGGGACGGGCCCGGTCCCCTCTGCCCTGCCCGCGGCTATGCGTCGGATATGCGTGGGCCGGCCGGCGCGGGGACCGCTACCCCGCTGGGTGTGGGGGGGGAGGGTAACGGGACACGGGATCCCTGGGTCGTAAGACCCGCTCGCTTCTGCTTTCCCTGCGAGAAATTATAGTGGTGTGGAGCCTAGGCTTTTGGTTCTACACGCATTTTAGTTGATGGCACATGCAGGTAGCAACGATGTTACATTGCTACCTGCATTTGTATTTTTCTGTAAAAGTCGAACTTTATCCGCTATAACCACAAAAAGGATGTTAGATCTGGACATCCATTCTATCCAACTCTACCCATTAACTATTTATTTTATTTGTTGTTATTTTTCGACTTATTTTTCGATCATTTTCTCCCTGTAGTGCTACCTATGATTACCATGAGCTTCAAATACGCGACGTTATTCGACGAACATGATCGAACTTCGAGAAGAAACTTTAAAGAATGACTGACATATTCATTTCGGAAGCACGTAATTAACAGCAACGTTCGATTTTCAAAGTTAGCGATTTTCAAAGTCTATCGCGGTTTTTAAACCACTGCAGGGAACCCTATAACGCATGCCTGCACCATTGCAGCAACAGAAGGTCTGCTGCACCCTGCGCTACTGCATAAAATGTGCGTGCAATATCAACGGAGGCCCGTATGCGTGCCTAAATTCGGTTGCCAAATAAGTATGTCTGCTAGGTAAAGCACTAGCTATTTATTGCCTACATTGGTTAATTTTGGCAGATGCTGTTACAAATATGGTCAATACATGGTAAATATCCCACTCTCATTCCCCTACTCTTAAGGCCACCGCACACTATCCATTCGGCCGGTTCATTCGGTCGTTACAGCGGCGATTTTCTCGCGCAAGTGTCTATATCGGCCGAATGGCCGAATCGCTTAGAGCAGAAATATCGTCGGTGAAATATCGCCTAAACTGTTGTAACCGAATTCCAAGAGCGCAAGTAATGAATGTTTTATAATGAATATTGGAAAAGACCAAATATAATCCAGCTTCATATATTTAGTGCATCGTTCAAAAAAGAAACAAAATTATCGGTTAATTGCAGTTTGAGTAGGTAGCTTGCTTGATAATGAAAACAAATTGGCTGTTAAAAACAAACATTGAGCAAAGTACACCGACTATTGAGGTCTAAATGGTCTGAGCATATCGCAAGCGATTAACCAAACTTAGCAACATTAATGTGCATTGTATTGATGCTCTGGTACCAAAAGATTTAGTTATCTGCATGCTGAGCCACCAAACAACCCGTACACACTTCAACTAGCCATCGCGATACTGTACCTACTTCAAGCTGGCACTCCAAAGGGTGCAGCGCTAGTGTAGCGCTTCTCCGCTACAGCGCCGAGACGAGCTGGGCGAGCACGCCAACCGAGAGCAGGAGCTTCGGCTCAACGACCCCCAGCGACACAGGTTCAGTATTTCCAACTGAGCTGGAGAGTCTTCAGCCTCCTACTAGCACAGATCGAGGGCCAGATCACCCGCTCGACCACCACCTTCCTCCAGCCGGTGAGCGCACCGCTGCGGCTGGCGATTACACTCCACTATCTGGCGTCGGGGGCTGAATTTTCCGCTCTGGCGCCGAGCTACCGGCTCGCGGAATCGACCACGCGCGCGTTGGTGTACATCTGTTGCGCGATCGTGAACGTCCGCGGTGCAGTGTACCTGCCGGAGCCGACGGAGAAGACGTCGCGCGCCAGTGAGCGGAAGTTCCGGGAGCGATGGCTTTTTTCGAACCGCTTTTACACACTGACCGAAAGCCAGGTCGGCATCATTCAACGGTTTAGCCACCTGTTGTACACTTTGAAGTGCTGCGAGCGTTTCGACTGGGCACGGCTGCTCCTTGCGGACACTGGTGATGCCGGCACCGACCGCTCCAGAGACGGGGCTGGCCCGAGCGCCGGCCTTGGAGCTGGTGCTGCTTGCCGGGGCGCCGGCCCCGGGGACAGAGCTGGTGCGCCGGCCGTTTGCGGTTCAGCTGGTGCCTCATCGTCCAGGAAGACTCGTGTTTCATGAAACTGGTTTGTTGTGTACCGCTTGAATGAGATCCACTTCTCCGACCCAACTGAAAACATAGGGACTTTGTTAATTTTGAACGCCACCTGTTGTGCTGCTGGGCCCACGACCCGCGTCATCGTTTTAGCCCGAGTCATCCATCCTCTTGGGTCCAGCCCACCTCGAGTGAGGCCACTGCAATGGCGTGTTTATAGGTATATTGGTAATGACACTCGGTACACCCTCCACACCGGCTGAGCCGACAGTAGATGTCGCCTCTGCTGCCTGCTGGGAGACGCGCGCGCCATCTAAAGGCGGGTTGGTGGAACAGCTATCAAAGGTCCGCTCATCACACTGAAATGTGTACAACTGTACACAAAGGTGGATCTGCACTGGTTGGAGTGGACACATCTAGGTACCTGGTTCATTGACCCGGCAGAGAAGAAAACTATCACTATTGTGAAAGATCTCTGGGGAATAAATGATACACAAAACAGTATTGAATGGTGAATAGTTACTACAGAAAGGACAGGTGGCTATTTTTATATTTGTTCAGTGCCATTACATTTTATTTAACATAAAATGAGCTCCTGTAGAGCAGACAAAAACACAAAAAAAAAACACATTCAGCATGCTGATCTCACAACTCTTTCAATGCAAATATTGCATGCAAGTGTTTGTGTGCATCCCATAAAGCCTTAACAATGTTCCAGACTTTTCTTTCATGGCCCTGCATTTGACACAACCAACATCTTGATCTGGCAGAAACACAGAAAAGGAAAAAAATACTTTGAAAAATGGAATTTCTATTATACTTTGACAACTCAGATCAAGATTTTGAATTATGGCACTTCTTGTACCATAAGAAAGAGTTGTGCTCAACACTTTCACCAACCATGCAATGAAGTACCTACATATCTAATATGTGACACATTAGTGTGACAGTAGCCTGCCTGTCGGAGGCAATGTGAATGAAATGATAAATGAAAACCCAGATTGCATGGTAAGAACATTATATGAGAACATTACAGGTACTTTCAATGACTTTGACTTGCAAGGTTTGAATTTTGATGGAATAATTTAAGAATAGCTCCTTGAAACTTAGAACTTGTGTCCAGCATTTCAAGTTAACTGGCAAAAGCAGAAAATATTTGCTTATATGGATAATAAATGGCCATTTTCCAAGAATACCTACTGTGGCATTTAGTAGTAGACAATTTATGCCCACTGACTATGTATAATCATGGCAAATTGAAATGGATAAAATGGGGAAATGGAAATTGAAATTGAAATGAAAAGTGGAGCAGAGATGGTTGAAACCAATATTTAAACAACATTTCAATCTGAATCACATATGCAATTGACAAAATACACAACACAGATATTCATTCGAATACTTACTTCATTTCCATCACAAACAACCCCACACCACACGAGCCCCTCCCTCACATCGAAAATGATTGGAATGTAGACAACACTTGTCAAGGTTGTATGAAAACAATATGGCGGCTGTTGATTTTCGGCCGCTAAATGACTGCTTCGGCGAGAAAAGTTCAACCGGTCGAACTTTTTTTCGGTCGTCGCGTGAACATCGCTTGGGCCGAATGCCTGAATAATATGGGCCGAATGCACCGTCGTTGGTTCGTTGTTTCGGCCGATATAAAGACTCGCGCAACAAAATCGCTGCTGTAACGGCCGAATGAACCGGCCGAATGGCTAGTGTGCGGTGGCCTTTAGTCTCAGACGCCGGCGCATGTCATTTTCAGACCACCTCTAGAGCGGACAGGCGCCAGGCGGTGATCTGGCGTCATCACGTCACCCGAACCCGCCGGTCCCGTCCCGCCCTGGTCCTGGCGGCGACGGAGCGGGCACCGGGCGGATTTCGGGCGGGCTGGCGGGCGGCGGCGGCCATCGCTGGCGTCCGGCGGTGGCCATCGCTGGCGGGAGGCGATTAGTGGTCCGCCAGCGGACGGCGCCGGCCTGCCGCGCCATTCGCTGGAGCGATTGTAAACGGACATCGGCCGCCGCCGCCGCCATCATCAGTCTTATACATTGTTCCGAAGTCATGCTACCTGAGACGCCGATTGCATTCTTGATGGACTGATTTTTGGATTCCGAAGAGCCTTGAAGAAAGAAACGCCAAT